GAAAGAAACCCTGAATGATGAGGCCCTTTTCTTCTCTCAGAAAAGGTTCAAAACTTCTCTAAGAAAAGTCTAGGTCAAATGGTATGGATTTCCACTAAACCAGGAAACCACAAAGCCCTGGTAGATCTCCAAAGAAATTCTAAGCTGTTTGGCTCCAAACAGTCCTCTTGACAGGTCCTTTGCAGCTGTGTTTTACGTTTCCATATGGCCTTGACAGGAGTCCCTCCACAATTAGTGGGGACTCAAAACAAGTTAGCTATGAAATACATTACATCCTAATGGCCTTATGGGGTTATTTATACCTATTTTGGACCATTTCCAGGATCCCAGATTATACTGTAAATGTAAATTAAGGACATTTCACAATCCAATGGCACTGACTGGAACATGCAACATGACCATATCTTATGCTCCATTTTCTAATGCTTTCCTTGGCTGAATGTTAATGATTTTACCACCCTGAAAGGTAAACACTCTATAATCTTAAAAACCATACCTTAGGAAATACTTCTCTGTTTCCAATTCTTGAATGTACCCAGTTACCTAGGTGCAAAAATTGACCACTAGCCAATTTTCTCCTTTCACATTAAAATTTTTCCGAAATTTATTGCATTTACCTGGCCAAGTTAGAAATACCACCCAACACCTATATCAAGTTGTTTCTTTATTTAAAATAGTAAATTGGTTGCACTTACTGAAATACAAAACCAGATGAAGTTAGTCTGTGTTTCCAATGGTTGGGAACGGACATTTAGTAGGTAGCAGGAGAAGAAGAAGACATTGAAAAATTATACTCCCTTACCCAATGCACAACATCAGTTACAGATCACACATTCTAGAAAACTCTAAATGTAATGTAAGTGGTTCTTATTTCTTTTTTATCCATTGCTTACATTGTATACCCAAAGAATCTGAGCTTGGTTTTGGTGTTCTCTCTGTCCACCCTTCTGCTCTCATCACCTGTGAAGTCTTTTCCCTATATATGCCCAAAACTGTACTGAAAGCTTTAAAATATAATCTCATTTAATTTAATTTAATCATCATGATATCAGGTATTGTTATACAATTTACAGATGAGTAAACTGAGGCTTTGAGAAATTAAGTGATATGCCATGACCACATAGCTATTAAGTATACATTTACTGGAATTAATGCATATGTCTTTTCAGTGGCAAAAGTAATGCCTTTTTACACTTTCCAGTTTGGTCCTCCACTGTTTCATCTATTAAATATGGAAATATTAACAGTCATTAAGATCTCTTCCAACTTCAGGATGTTCCAGATATAAGATGACACACATCTCAGAAAATTTGCAGTTCAATTAGTTTTGCTTATTTATTAAAGTCCTGCAAGAGACCAAGAAATGGTTCCTATAATCTGAAAATTTAGGAACTCTGAAAGGAAAGAGGTGAGGAACTTTCGGTCAAGCTAAGCCTTTCTAGAGTTTTTCACATCCACCTAAAGCTAGATTTAGTGTTGTCTTTTTTTTTTTTTTTACAGCTGTTAATACTTACTGTAACTTACCATGTACTATGTCAAAATAGTACATACTATGTCAAATAGTCATACTATGTCAGAAGTTTACATGTATTATCTCATGTAGAAACACAGAAAAAGTCCCTATGAGATAGTACTATTATTATTCCTAATTAACAGATGAAAAAACAAGGTTTAACTTGCTGAAGATCCCACAGTTAGCATGTGATGAAACTTGGGCTCAAACCCACAAGTTTGACTTAGAAGCACATAATTTTAACTTTGAGATTGTGTTGCTTCTGTATGCTACTTTTAGCTTATTTATCTAAGCCCATTTCAAGTAAATTATAACAATGTCATTTATTTCTTTTGAAATAAAGCCCATAGGCTTTATCTGCATAGTTTGCTAGCACATATCCCTGTGTCATATGTGTGATAACAATTATCAAGGATCTCATGATTCATGCCTTATTAATGCAATTAAATACCTTTGGGTTGCTCTCAGTCACACACCTATGAGCTATAGACTTCTTTTCTCTCCCTCTAGATACTTCTTTTTATCCAAAGGAGATAGATTAACAAGCATCAAAAAATAGGCAACCACATTAATGTGGAGATTGGCAATTTCTGATCTGAAAAATGTCTTCATAGGAAAAAAAAAACCAACATTGCTTAAGGTGACTGACTTAACTGAAGTCGTACCTTACTAAACTGTTCCCACAGTTCATTTTGAACTTATTAGAAGAAATTATTGACATTTGCAGAAGATGCAATCTTCAAGGCCCCAAGAGCAAATTAACTTTGGTATTAAGAGGAATTCAAGTTAGATGTTACTCCCTACATTAGGAAAACTTTATTTCCATTTTAAATCTGATTTATATTATACATTAATATTAATCTGCTTGCATGTATGAAACTAAAATTCACATACATTTCCCTTTTGTATTATCTTTGGAAAAAAGTGACCTCCAAACTAAATGTGGGAGTGCTCAAAAAAGACCCATTTAGATTTTATAACTCTTTAGGAGGAAAAAGATATTTTAGAAGCTATAATTTTTATCAAATAAGTATTAGTTTATTTTTATTTTAGTCAAGTACACATTTTATAAAATAGCACTAATAAGGTATACTGTTTTTCCCTGAGCAAATTCTTCACTGTGAAATCCAGCTGTAATATTCATTTAGAAATGTGACAATGCTCTCTTGTGTGAGTTTTGGGAATATTTGAAACTCCATTATATATAAATTATATCATGGAAAAGCTGTATAAATATTCTATAATGGCACATGCTGCTCTAAGTATCTGTCAGGATTTCCTTTATACTATCCATTTTGAGAGGTATATAAATTAAATGTAAAAAAATTCATGTTGCACTGAAGTTCAGCACAAAAGGCTTCTTCCAGAGTCAAATACTTTTTTCAAAATGTGGTTTGAATTATGTAGTGATTTTTAAGTTATAGAAGTTCAGAAAGTGTATTTGTGGTTTTGAAAGAGAGATTATTTTTTCCCATTTTTATAACTCATTAGGAAACTTTACAGGCCTTTAGACTATTTTGTGCTTTAGATCTTCTCAGGTTTTTCCCCAAAGCAATATTAAAACTTGAATGGTGTTTGCTATGAATCCAGTGTTTAATGTTCTGAATACAAATAGGTTTATGGATATTCATAAGGGGCAAAAGTAGTTTTAAAGTAGTAAGTGTAAGAAACAGAGTTTATTCTTGTACTATTATTTATTATTTTATTATTTTCCATACAATTACTTTTGCCCCACACTGTATATAGCTATACATATCTTAGACTAGAAATTTCAATAATATAGTGACTGAGGTTGATTAGGCCTATCAGTTGCCCACTTGGTTCTTAATATCAAATGAAAGTTTGGTTTATCAAAGGACTCCCCTATATATACCACAGTTCAGCAAGTATTGCTTGTAATTTTAAATGTGCATATTTAATTAGAAGAAAAATCCTAATTCAAACAATGCTTTTTTATGAGCTTTTTGATAATAAGTTTTTGCCTCTTCTAAATTTTTCTTTCCTTTAACACATAGAGCAAGCTGAAGCATGTTTAATAGATATCATGATGATAATCACATTTGGAAAGTATTTAATACATGCATGTTTATGTATATAAATTATTTTGTTAGCATTAAACTTATTCTGTCTGTATAACTAACGTTGCTGAGTAATTTCATTAATGTCTAAATTATTATTTTAGCACATGTAGAGATTATGATTATATTTGCTTTCTTAATAGCATCAGTTAAAATCTGAGAAAGTTTTCTTTGGACTAAGAAAGGTGGCAAAATTCACAAAGTTGAGTAAGCCAATCATTCAGATGAGTTTAAAAGATAATAAATATAGAAATATTTTATACTGTTGAATTGCTTCCATCTATATCATATTTAATTTTTTAATGCATTAAAATTACACATTTAGATCAGGCATTAAAACCTAAAAAAGTTAAAGATTTCCTGATATTATTTCTTAGGTATTTACTTAATTGTATTTAGAATCTGGGTGTCTTGATTCCTAATACAACTCCCTTTTCATTATATTATACTATTTCTGGTATAGTCACTACAATCTTTGGGCCTAATGATAGTTTGGACAACCAAGAGGATAATCAAACATTTGCCTGTGGCTGGTGGAGCTCTGTGAATTTTTCCACTAGGACACTCTATGGAGTAGAAGGGATCTATCTCATCCTGGATGTTTTATCTACTAAGTGTCATGAAAATTAGTCAACTCTACAATAAAGAGATCTGAATGCCAGTTTTCCTCTTTTTTCACATCAACAGGAGAACAAGGTTACTAATAAGGGGTTATAGCCCAAATCTCTAATCTATAAATCTGCATATTTTTATTTCTAGTTGAGTATTTTTTAAATTCTGCTTCATTTACTTCTACTAAATTATACTACTTTGTGTTTAATTTTACATTTGGTTATAATTATATTATAAAATGTTATGTGTAATTCATACATCACTCATTTGGTTATATCTTTCTCTTAGTTTATCATTAAAGTCATAGCTTTTATGATTTAACTTAACATGTATCACTCAAAAAAATTGTTGCAGCTTTTAGGGGAAGTCTAAAAATATCTGAGCACTAAGTACATTGAAACACAGTTTTATGTTGTTTTGAAATGTTTTGCAGTATTGTGGAGACTTTTTTAAATTCTCAAAAATATAATGCAAATGACAAAATAAATAGTTTTACATGTTAAGAATCTATATACCATGATTTGAACTTAAGCAATTTATATCTAGTTAGGCAAGCACTCTATACATTACACTCTCCCTTTTATATTTTACATTATACCAAATTATTTCTTATATTTGGAGAAGAGATAACACAGTTCTAGTTGAATAGTGTTGACCTTGTTAAGGCATAGCACCATTGTTTTATCCATAACAAGCAGTATATTTTTTAACAGAATGGCTATCTCTTAACAGCACATGAAATAAACAATGACAAAGGAAAACTTTAAGATTATAAAGAATGTAAGATATATTCTCACCTTGATTTTACCTTTAAACAGCCTTTTATTTGTCTATTAGAAACTCCTTCCCAAGATTTTACAGGCTTCAGCTCTTGTTCTTTCTTTTGACAAACCAATATGTAATTTGCACCATTATTATTTGACCAAAATATACCAACAGAAGTTTCATAACGTATACAAAACTCAACTTTACTGCCATCTTTTTGGTAAGGAGGAACCAAAGAAATCTTAAAAGAGAACTGATCTGTTTCACCGTCACATGAATTTGGGACATATTCTGCTAACATGTCATAATGTGTCTGCCAATCATCTAAGGACATTCTCACATATACTAACTTTTCAAAAGAAATATTTAAAACTCGAATAATGCCTTTCATACTTGTACACCCAGGAAGATACTCAGCTGACTCCAGTATCGCTTTATGTACTTGAAGTTGTTGCATAAGTTCTTCTGAAGAAGGTAAGTCAAATAGTGGAGATAATACATATTCTTCTGGGTGGAAAATGTCCTTCCTTAAGTCAAAATTGGTTAAAACACTTGGTAAGTCCCAGCAATCAAATTCTTTGACAGATACAAGATTGAATCCAAAGGTGTCAGCAAATGAAACTCTTCTCGTACCTGCAGATGGAGTGTCCAGGTACACATCTTCAGAAGAATCAGAACCTCGTCTACTAGGTTGAGGGGAGAAACCAGGTCTGAAAGTAGCCCTAACTTCTTCATCTTCAGGAAGAAAATCAGATAAGTTAGGAACTTCTAAAAAGTTATCTTTGTTAATCTGACTAGGTTCTTCAGAAGGCTCCATTGAAGGCTCCGCTGGATTCTGATATCAAATAAGGGAGAACTGTACAATTAGTACACGCTGATATTTGATATACGAAGGCTAAAATAAGTATAATGTTACACTTGACATTACAAGAAGGAGTCAGCTCTATAAATAGGTTTGTTGGCATGTAAACTATGCCAGCTTGCCTCTAAAGACCTTTAATATGATAACACCCATGTTACTCTCACTGGTATGTTTCATAGTTAACTCTTATTTTTCAAAGTTGCATGTGTTTGTAAGCTGAGATCCAAAGACATTTTACTGGGTTAGAAAATCTGAAACTTAAGAATAAAAATATTATTTTTCAGTTATTAAAAAATATATAAGACCATTTATTTTAAAGTAAAATAAAATAAATAAAAAAGAAAAAAAAGGAAAGAAAAATGCTAATTATTTAGTTTCAGCTAAACCAATCCATTGGAGCAGCCAAGATCAACAGAAAAGAACTGAAAATATCCAGTGCCTAATAATAATAGTAACTATCATTTATCAGGGACATATAATATTAAATAGAAGTGCTGGAAGTTCAGAGGAAGAAAATATTATTTAGATAGGGAAGGTATTATTTGAAATAAACCAATAGGAGCAGGTAAGACATCAATGTGAACGGTTGAAGAGAGGTGGATTATAAAGTGGAAGAAATAGTGTTTGGAGTCAAGGCCTATAACAAAAAAAAATTAGTCAAATACATTAAACATTAGGATGTTTTTTTAATTTATTTACTTTTTAAATACATTTCTCTCTGCCTCCCCCCCACCACTTTCCCTTGCCCCCTCCCTCGGTCCCTCCTTCAGCTCTTCCCCTTTGGTTTTGTCCATGAGTCCTTGCTATATGTTCCTTGACTTGCCCCTTCCCTTCCCTTTCCCTGCACTCCCTTCCCTCTTGTCTCTGGTGATTTCTTTTCCTTTCAGTGTTCCTGGTCATATTTTCCTTGCATCTTTGCATTGTTGGTTAGGTTCCGCTTATAGGTGAGATCATATGGTATTTGTCTTTCGCCCCCTGGCTTATTTCGCTAAGCATGATGCTCTCCAGTTCCATCCATGCTGTCGCGAAGTTTAGTAGTTCCTTTTTCCTTTCTGCTGCGTAGTATTCCATTGTGTATACGTACCATCACTTTTTGATCCAATCATCTACTGATGGACATTTAGGTGGCTTCCAACACTTGGCTACTGTAAATTGTGCTGCTATGAACATTGGGGTGCATGGGTTCTTTTGTATTGGCGTTTTCGTGTTCTTAGGGAATAGTCCCAGCAGGGGAATCCCTGGATCAAAACGCACTTCCATTTTCAGCTTTCTGAGGAAATTCCACACTGCTTTCCATAGTGGCTGCACCAGTCTGCATCCCCACCAACAGTGGACTAGGGTTCCCTTTTCTCCACAGCCTCGCCAGCAACTGTTGTTTGTTGATTTATTTATGATGGCCATTCTGACCAGTGTGAGGTGGTACCTCATGGTGGTTTTGATCTGCATTTCTCTGATGGCTATGATGCTGAGCAGCCTTTCAAATGCCTCTGGGCCCTCTGTATCTCCTCCTTAGAAAAGCATCTGCCCAGGTCCTTTGCCCATTTTTTGATTGGATTGTTTGTCTTCTTGGAGTAGAGTCGAGTGAGTTCTTTATATATCTTGGAGATCAAACCTCTATCTGATATATCATTAGCTAATATGTTTTCCCATACAGTTGGCTCCCTTTTCATTTTGCTGATGTTTTCTTTAGCCGTGCAGAAGCTTCTTATTTTTATGAGGTCCCAATTGTTTATTCTTTCCTTTATGTCCCTTGCTTTAGGAGACATATCAGTGAAAAAATTGCCACATAGGATATCTGAGAGTTTCCTGCCAATGTTCTCCTCTAGGACTTTGATGGTGTTGCGACTTATATTTAAGTCTTTGATCCATCTTGAGTTTATTTTTGTGTATGGTGTCAGCTGATGATCCAATTTCAATTTTTTGCATGTAGCCGTCCAGCTCTCCCAACACCATTTGTTGAAGAGGCTCTTACTGCTCCATTTTATGCTTCTGCCCCCTTTGTCAAATATTAGATGTCCATAGAGACCTGGGCTTATTTCTGGGCTTTCTATTCTGTTCCACTGGTCTATGGGTCTGTTCTTGTGCCAGTACCAGATTGTTTTGAGTATGGTGGCTTTGTAGTAGAGTTTGATGTCCGGTATTGTGATCCCTCTTACTTTGTGTTTCTTTCTCAAAATTGCTGTGGCCTATCGGGGTTGTTTATGCTTCCATATACATTTTTGAAATGTTTGTTCTATTTCTGTGAAATACGTCATTGGTATCTTAATAAGGATTGTGTTAAATCTATAAATTGCTTTGGGTAGTATGGACATTTTGAGGATATTAATTCTTCCAATCCATGAGCACGGTATATGCTTCCATTTATTTGTGTCTTCCTTAATTTCTCTTTTCAATGTTGTATAGTTTTCTGCATACATGTCTTTTGTGTCTTCGGTTAAATTTATGCCTAGGTACTTTATATTTTTTCTTGCTATATCAAATGGTATTTTTTTTCTGATTTCTTCTCCTTCTATTGCATTCTGGGTATACAAAAACACCTTCGATTTCTGAATGTTGACTTTGTATCCTGCTGTTTTGCTAAATTCACTTATTAGGTTGAGGAGTTTTTTGGTAGAGTCTACAGGCTTCTCTATGTACACTATCATGTCATCTGCAAACAATGATAGTTTTACTTCCTCCTTTCCTATTTGGATGCCTTTTATCGCTTTCTCTTGTCTGACCGCTGTGGCTGGGACTTCCAATCGATTGAAAAGAAGCGGTGAGAGCAGACATCCTTGTCGTCTTCCCGATCTTAGTGGGAAAGCTTTGAGTTTTTGCGCGTTGAGTATGATATTAGCTGTAGGTTTTTCATATATGGCCTTTATTACGTTCAGGAATGCCCCATTTATTCCCATTTTGCTGAGTGTTTTGATCATAAATGGGTGCTGTACCTTATCAAATGTTTTTTCTGCATCTATCGAGATGATAATGTGGTTTTTGTCTTTCCTTTTATTTATGTGATGTATCATGTTTACTGATTTACGTATATTGAACCATCCCTGCATCCCTGGGATGAATCCCACTTGATTGTGGTGGATAATCTTTTGAATGTATTTCTGGATGCGGTTTGCCAATATTTTGTTGAGGGTTTTAGCATCTATGTTCATCAGAGAAATTGGCCTGTAGTTTTCTTTCTTTGCAGGGTCTTTATCTGGTTTTGGGATCAGGGTGATGCTGGCCTCATAGAAAGAGTCTAGGAGTCTTCCCTCCTCTTGGATTTTTTGGAATAGTCTGAGAAGGACAGGGGTTAGCTCTTCCTTAAATGTTTTGTAAAATTCTCCTGGGAAACCGTCTGGCCCTGGGCTTTTGTGTGCCGGGAATATCTTGATTACTGCTTCAATTTCCCCAACTGTTATCGGTCTGTTCAAGCTTTCTGTTTCTTCCTCCTTCAGTGTTGGAAGATTATACTTTTCTAAAAATTTGTCCATTTCATCAAGATTTTCAAATTTCTTGGCACATAATTGTTCATAATAATTTCTGACGATCCTTTGTATTTCTGTGGTATCAGTTGTTATTTCTCCTCTTTCATTTCGGATATTATTAATTTGGGTCCTCTCCCTTTTTTTCTTGATGAGTCTGCTTAAAGGCTTGTCAATTGTATTAACTTTTCCAAGAACCAGCTTCTGGATTGGTTGATTCTCTGAATTGTTCTTTTTGTCTCAATGTCATTCAGTTCTGCTCTAATCTTGACTAGTTCCTTCCTTCTACTTACTCTGGGATTTATTTGTTGTTGTTTCTCCAGTTCTTGAAGTTGTAGTGTTAGGTCTTTTATTTGAGATGTTTCTATCTTTTTAAGGTAAGCCTGTATTGCTATGAAATTCCCTCTCAGGACTGCCTTTGCTGTGTCCCATAGGTTTTGGACAGTTGTCTGTTCATTTCCATTTGTGTCCAGAAATTTTTTGATTTCTTCTCTTATCTCATTATTGACCCATTCATTGTTTAATAGTCTATTGTTCAGTCTCCATGAGTTTGCAAGTTTTTGAAGTTTCTCTTTGAGGTTGATTTCGAGTTTCAAGGCCTTGTGGTGTGAGAAAAAGTTTGGTATTATTTCAATTTTCCTGAATTTGCTGAGGCTTGCTTTGCGTCCTATCATGTGGTCTATCTTTGAAAAACTGCCGTGAGCATTTGAAAAGAATGTGTATTTTGCTTCTTTGGGATGTAAGGTTCTATATATGTCAGTTAAGTCTCTTTGATTCAGTGTGTCATTCAGCGCCACGATATGTTTATTAAAGTTTTGTTTGGAAGATCTGTCCATTTTTGACAGTGGGGTGTTGAAATCCCCTACTATCAGTGTGTTGCTCTCTATATCTTTTTTGAAGTCATCCAACAGTTTCCTTATAAACTTGGGGGCTCCTTATTGGGAGCATATAAGTTTACAATGTTGATGTCTTCTTGATAGATTCTTCCTTTAAGTATGGTAAAGTGCCCCTCTGGGTCTCTCTTTATGGCCTTTGCTTTGAAATCTACTTTGTCTGATACAAGTATGTCAACGCAAGCCTTTTTCTCATGCCCATTTGCTTGGAATATTATTTTCCATCGCTTTACTTTCAAACTTGTAGGTCTCTTGCTCTGAGGTGGGTCTCTTGTAGGCAGCATATGTGTGGGTCATGTTTTGTTATCCATTCAGCTACCGTGTGTCTTTGATTGGGGCATTTATTCCATTCACATTGAGAGATATTACTGATAGCAACTTACTCATCTTTTCTCTTTGTACCTGTGTTCCTCTCTGTCTCATTCTTTTCTTTCAACTACTTAAACCAGTCCACTTAGCATATCTTGGAGTGCTGGTTTGGTAGAGATGTATGCTTTTAGCCTTCTTTTGTCTGGGGAACTCCGTATTTCTCCTATTTTAATCGAGAGCCTCGCTGGGTAGAGCAGCCCTGGCTGTAGGCCCTTGTTTTTCATGGCTTAGAATATTTGTTGCCATTCCGTTCTGGCTTGTAGTGTTTCT